TCCATCATGAGGGAGATCAGGGCAGGGACCTGGAGGCAGGAACTGATCCAGTGGCCATGGAGGAGTGCTGCCTACTCGACTGCCCCTCCTGACTTCCTCAGTCTGCTTTCTTATCCCACCTGCCCAAGGGTGGCACTACTCCCAATGGGCTGGGCCTTCCCACACTGATAATCAGAAAATGCCCCTACAGAATTGCCTATTGACCAATCTTATGATAGCATTTTCTCAATTTAAAAAAAGAAAAAGCACTCCTAGGAATTCAAATAAACATTTACCTCTGATAATCATTGTATCATTAAACATTTAGGCAATATATGCAAACACTCTAGTGTCCATCAAAAGATAAGTAGAAACACAAGTGTATGGTATGCATAGAGTACAACATTGTTCCACTGTAGTAAGGAGGCCGCTTGTTGGGTCCCAGCTACTCAGCCCAGAAATAATCACACAGAAACTATATTAATTAAAACACTGTTTGGCTCTAGCTTCTTATTGGCTAGCTCTTCCATATTAATTTAACCCATTTCCATTTATCTGTGTATAGCCACAAGGCTGTCGCTCACCAGGTAAAGTTCTGGCATCTGTCTTTGGCAGGGCTACCTGACTTCTCCCTACTCTGCCTTCCCTCTCCCAGCATTCAGTTTAGTTTTCCCTGCCTACCTAAGTTCTGCCCTATCAACAGGCCAACGCAGTTTCTTTATTCACCAATGGTATTCACAGCATACAGAGAGGAATCCCATATCACTGCACTCCACCATATATAGGTTCTGATACATGGTACACCATGGATGGATCCTGAAAAGATTATTTACACAAAATGAAAGCCAGCAGAAAGGATTCATGTACAGTGGTCGTGTATCCAGAACTAGGAGTGAAGTGGGCAGTTGGTGGTCACTTGTAGTTAAAGAATGTTAGAGTTTATGAAAAATTTTGTGAACACCTATTAGTAATGGGTGCACAACAGTAAGACTGATATCACTGAGTCACACATTTGTAAATGATGAAAGTTTCCATTTTTGTGTGTTATATATTTTATCACAATTTTTAGATTTGCAGTGTAATATAGCAAAATCCACTAAATGTGTACTTGAAATGAGTGAACAATCAAGCATGTGCATTATATCTTAATACAGCTGTTCTTTTTTATATAAACAAGATTAATTAATAGATTCAGTATTTGGAAATAGCAAGGAAAAACAAAGGATTGGAATTGGAATTCTCATCTTTATCTTCCTAATTTTTCCCACAACCACCAGTAATTTTCAAAAAAATACATTTATTGGGAGAGGTGGCACACACACATGTGACGTGGGATGCATGTGGAGGTCAGAAGATAACTTGAAGACTGTCTTCCACCATGTGGGTCCTAGGGATCAAACTCACATCTTCAGTCTTATCAGCAATTGCCTTTCATCCTGAGCCATTTTGCTGGCTCCCACTGCCATCTTTAATAGATATTTATAATGTCAACTTATTACTCAGATACTTACCCCAGTAATAAATACCTGAAGTAATCAATTTGTAAAAAGAGAAAGGTCTTTTGGCTCATGGGTTTAGAATTTCCAGTCCATGATCAGGTATGGACCCAATGCTTACAGGCTTCTGTTGGGGTCCAAGGTGGCAGTGATGGGAAGTACATGGTAGGAGAAAGACACTCTTGGCCAGAAAGAGGAAGCAAGCAACAAAGGTCTCATTCCCCTAAAGGACATATTCCCGATGACCCAAAGCCTCCCTCTCTAGGCCCTTCTAAAGGCTTCACTGCATCCCACAGCACCAAAATGATGAGCAAACCTTTGAAAATGTGGATCTGTGGAATTAAAGTTTGCACCACAAATTAATCTTTCAAGATAAAGCTCTAATACACATGAATTGTAAAAATAAAGTAACATGTAACCAGGAATTCATGCACAGCCATCTTGGAAGAGTGCCCCCAAATAAATTCAGATTTCTGGAACATCATTTAGTCAATGTTCTCTAGAATACCTAACAACTCAGCAGAGAAACAAGGGAAGAAACTGGGCATGGTTGGTTGTGCTGTAATCCCAACTATCTGGGAGTCCAAGGATAGGATCACCTGAGTTCAGGTTTTGAGGCAAACCTGGGCAAGAGTGAGATAT